CGTCCAGTTTGAAAGGGGGGGCATTAACTCTCCACAAATTTGAACGTCTCTCGGAGGTCGTCTGGATTGGCAAATTTGGCGTTTTTCTGACGCACCATCTCGCCCCACATTCCTGATGTCCTCAAGGGGATTTGTGTGGTTCTCTCTCTCTCTCTGTGTTTGTGTGTGTGTGTTGTCATGTTTGCTATGCGCGAGTCCACAAATGAATCACGACTGCGCCAGCTGTTTGGTCGGACGTTGAATGACGCATCAGGAGGTTGAGTGTGGGTGCGTCGTGTGCACACATTGATGTGTTTTTGTCGTGTTGCCGCTGCAGGGTGATGTGAATGTGAAGATCAAGAAGGCATACTGCCCACCGCAGCAGGTGGAGGGGAACCCTTGTGTAGAGTATGTGAAATACATTGTGCTGCCATGGTTCAAGAAGTTTGAAGTGCACCGCTCCGAAGCGAACGGGGGACCGATGTAAGGCTTCCTTTTTTTTGTTCTTAATAATCTTAACCCCCTCCTGCCTGCGTGTGCGCCTCCGCCTTTGTTGTTGTTGTTGCTTCTTCTTTCTTTTCATTTTTCAAATACGATTGCACTAGGATGCAATTCAGACTTGCCCACAGATTGATGTTTTCTTTGAGCCGCATTAAACAGGGAAAAAAGAAAAAAAGAAAAAAAGAAAAACCTTGACAATCTCTGTCCACTGCTGTGCAATGCCTCCCTCTGTCTCTCTCCTTTTTGCTCACAAGCATAGATTTGAACATGCGCACTTGCCTGAATGTGATTGTGTGCACATACGTGCGTACAATCACATTTTTTTTAATCTGGCAAAGAACATGTGCACTTGCCTGAAAAGTTCAAAAAACTGAAAAAAAAAAAGTTATAAAAAAATAAAAAATGTTATGCGGAAAAATAAACTGAACAACTTTTGCCCTAGGGTCTGATGAAAATTCTTTGCCAGATTGAAAAAAATAAATAAATAAAAGATATATATTTTTAATTTGTTTTTGGCCCTGCCGGAAAAATGCTATGTTACCGGGAGTAGCCCGGGACCACTTGCCGGGCAGGGCCAAAACCAAATTAAAAATATATATATGATATATATATCCTCCTGATGAGTCGGTGAAACTCCGACGAAACAGTTTGTCACAGCTCCTCGTTTGTTGTCCTCTTCTCTCTCTGCCTACGGTTTACCGGGCAGTTCTGTTTGTGACGATATATATATATCTATTTGACGATATATATATATTTTTAATCTGGCAAAGAATTTTCATCAGACCCTGGGGCAAAAGTTGTTCAGTTTATTTTTCTGCATAACATATATTTTTTTGTTAACTTTTTTTTTTCAGTTTTTTTTACTTTTTTCCCATTTTTTTTTTTTTTTTTTTTTTTTTTTTAACGGGGGCCTTCCCTCGCCCTTGCCCGGCCGGGCCACCTTGACAAACCAAGCGGACCCGGGCGTCCGGGTTGATAGCTCAGCTTATAAGTACACTTCGAAGTTCAAAGTGGCTTTGTGTGCCATTATTAATGTATTATGCTTTTGTTATGTTAATAATTGGGTTAAACGACCAGTCCATCCGACACACTAGATTGACCAACCAAAAAATGCATTCTGATGAGCCTATTTTATTTCATGCCTTTTATAAATAAAAGGCGTATGGTGCTCAATCAATGTGGGTGAATTGGATGGTGCGCGATGCCCGGGTACAGTGTCTTTCACGACGTGGAGGAATTCATGGAGGCCTACAAAGCGGGACAGCTGCATCCTGGCGATCTTAAACCTGCACTTGCGAAGGCTATAAACATCATTTTGCAGGTCTGTGCTCTACCTCCTCCTCCTCCTCCTCCTCTTCTTCTTCTTCTTCTTCTTCTTCTTCTTCTTCTTCTTCTTCTTCTATGTGCATAGGTATGTGTATGTGTGTATGTGTGTATGTGTGTTTGAGTGCGTGTGTGTGTGTGTG